GCATACACCACCATCAATGTTAGTGGCGGCACTTCCGTATACGTGATGAGCCTGGCACTATCTTAAAAACACAGCTAGAAAAAAAACACACATGATCTCTGCAGGTAGCTTCTTAGTGTGCTGGCCAGCGTGCTTTTCGGGTTTCTCTTCATTTACACTTGGCTAATTCATTCCTCGCGAGATACTGAGTGAAGATTAAAGATGGCTGACAGGATACCAGGAGACAGCAAAACCTGGGCCTGTCACTGAGCCAGCTTCGAACTCAGACGAAGTAAAGATGAAAGCTAAATTTTCCAATGATTTTTTTCATATTTCACGCTAACGAGAAAGCTTTAAGAAAAAAAAATAGGTGAGCTGATGGCTCAGTAACCTGTCATTGTCTTCCAATAATCAGGAACAATAACAAAAAGGTCACCCTAATGTAACAAACTCTTGTCCTTTCACCAGTGAGTGACCACAGTGGCAACAAGTTGGAGCAGGGAAGAAGTCTCAACATGTCACCATAAAGATCACAACCCCCAGGACCCACATAAAAAATAGCCTGGCTGGGTAGTAATAGCGCACGCCTTTAATCCTAGCACTAGGGAGGCAGAGACAGGTGGATCTATGTGAGTTTGAGGCCAGCCTGGTCTGCAGAGCAAGTTCCAGGACAATCAGGGCTACACACACACACACACACACACACACACACACATAAAACACTGTCTTGGGAGAAAAAAAAGCCAAAACCAAAAACCCACCACCAACAACAACAAAAAAGTACATGCATAAAACAAAAACAAAAGCCTGATGTCAGGGCTGGAGGTGTATCTCAGTGGTCAGTAGCACTGGCTGCTCTTCCAGAAGACCTGGGTTTAGTTGCTAGCATCCAGGAGGCAGCTCACAGCCATCTGTAGCCAGTTTCTAGAGATCCGCTGTCCCTCTTCTGGCCACTGTGGAAACTGCATGCAAGTGATACACAGACATACATGCAGGCAAAACATCCTAAAACAACAAACATACCCTGGCATGGTAGTGAATGCTTGTACTCTCTTGTACTCCTAGTGTGTGGGACCTCTGGCCTCCACAAGACACACGCGCACGCACACACACACACACACACCCCAATCTCAACAAAGTAGCTCAGGGTCTCATCACGTATGCCAGGCAATCACTGCATCAATGCACTACACCCCAGCTCTGTGTTGATGATACCGATATATTCATAGATATAGAATGTCCCAGGCTAGAGGTAAAACCTGTAGAGCAGTGCAGTCGGGAAGGTAAGTGCTGTCCTTCATCTTGTTCAAGGCGACTTGCGCAGAGTATTGGGGTTTTGCACTGAGCAGCTGTTCTATGTCATAGAGTTACAGAAATGATTTTTATAAGCCAACTACTGGAAGATTTCTTTGTCACACTGGGGATAAACCTAGGGTTTCACACATGCTATCCAAGCAACCTATCATTGTGCTAAAGTTTTAGCTTTAACTTAATCATTTTAAAACTGTCATTTAAGCTGGGCAGTGGTGGTGCACGTCTTTAATCCCAGCACTCGGGAGGCAGAGGCAGGCGGATCTCTGTGAGTTCGAGGCCAGCCTGGTCCAGACAGATCCAGGACATCCATGGCTACACAGAGAAAACCTGTCTTGAAAATCTCCCCCAAAGAAAAGAAAAGAAAAGAATAGAAAAGAAAAGAAGAGAATCAAACCTGCCTTTTAAGGAGGCAGAGAAAGGAGAATCTCTGAGTTTGAGGCCAGTTTGTCTACATAGTGAGCTCCAGGTCAGCCAGGGCTACACAGTTAGACCCTGTCTCACACAAAACAAAACTAAATAAAACAAAATCAAAACTAAGTAAATAAAATTTAAAACTGGCATTTATTCTTTGTTTTGTCTTCAGGGCTCCATGTATGCTATGCAAGCTCTGAGCTACGTCTCCACCCCTTTCTGTGTTCTAAGATTATTGACATAAACTTCACTCTAAGCTGCCCAGGCAGGCCTTGAACTTTCCATCCTCCCATCTCAGCCTCCTACTAGCTGGGATTCCGGACCTGAACTAGCAGGCCTGGCTTTATTACACTCCCAATATGAAAATACAGGCCTAATGTTCAACTACATGAATCTAACAGTTATAAACTATGAGTTTTGCATTAATTTTTATAACTTCCGGACATTTTACAGCTTCTCACAGCTCACCTAGATGGCGACTGCTTTCTGCCACAAAGAGGTTTCTAGAAGAAAAGTGTCTCACTCTTTAGCAGAGCAGGATGTGGCTTAAGAGTGGGCTGTTCCTGTAGAATGGCATTTGAAGGCAGAAGATTTTCACTAGAGTCCCAAGACTGTATAAAATCTGTTGAGATCGGTGAAGGTCGACGAGAGTGGCAGCCACCAATCACTCATGGCCACCCAAACCGACTCCGTCTAGAAGCGTCATTCTGCCAAGTGAGGCTTTAGTACCCCATCATTATCTCATTACACATGAGCAAGGTCCCAAAGCCACCATGTAAGGAAAGCCCTTAATCAGGGCCGCAGCCTGGCCGCCAGGCGCACTGTACACCGCCAAGCTCTGACCACTGGACCCACAGACGGTTGCCTCAGCCCCGATCCCCTCCGTTTCTCTGGGCTGGCTTTCTGTCTTTTTTCTTTCTTTTCTTTTTTTTCCTTGAAAACTGCTAAGAAATAATAATAATAAAATTTAGGGGCTGGAGAGATGGCTCAGCCGTTAACAGCACTGACTGCTTTTCCAGAGGTCCTGAGTTTGATTCCCAAAAACCACATGGTGGCTCACAGCCATCTACAGTGGGATCTGATGACCTCTTCTGGCATACACGCAGACAGCGCACTCAAATACATAAAATGATTAAATAAATAATAAAAAAGAAAATTGCTAAAAAGAAAAATTAACTGATAGTGGACATGTTGGCCTTAAAACACAGATTTTGCACCCAGTTTTCTTAGTGGGTGTTATATATGCTAACCTATTCCCTCCACTAAACTATAAGCTATCTGAAGGCAAACACTTCCACTCAGCATGCCCTAAAAACAAAACAGAAAAAAAAAACCCTGAAACTACCTTTTTTCATTGCCACATACTTCATATATAATATGGCTGTCCAATTTGTTATTAACCGTACATAAACGCATAAGTTTACCAAGTAAAACAAACCCAAACATTTCATATCTCTTGCCATTAACAATATTTCCCCATTTCCCAAGCGCTCTCTTTTTTCTCTCTACCTATGGTACTGGGTCCAACGCCCAGAACCTCATGCATGCCAGGCAAGTATTTTACCAGAATCACATACTCGGTAGCTTTTTGCTTTGCTTTTTCAGACAAGGTCATGCCATGCAGACCCAGCTGATCTGGGGATTCGCTGTGTATTCCAGGCTGGATGTAAACTCAAAACAATCCTCCTGCCTCAGCCTCTCCAGTGTAGGGACTACAGTGCGAGCCACCAGGGCTGCTTCTGTCTTTGACTTCCTGTCTTCCTCTCCCAAAAGATAGGCAGGCAGAGTAGCCATGCTGCGGTTCTGGCCCCAGTCACCTGCCCTTTAGATCACCAGCACGGCTAGGAAATGTCTACCCCCTCCCCCCCAAACCACTCAGAATCATGTATGTTCTTCATTCCTAACCCCATCCTGCTCTATGAATAAGTGACTTCTGAGGTGCCCCCACCCCATAACAACAATGACGACAACAACAACAAAACCCACCAAACAAAACTGAAGGAAGCAAAAATAAGAAAAGAACACCCAAAGGCCTACAGTTTTGCCTAACCTAGGATAGTACAAGTGCTTCAAACTATGTGCTAATTTAATTCTTTCAAAATGGGTATTTGCACGTGTCAGTCACCTGACATTGACAGCAGGATGAATGGGAATTCCTTTGACAGAAGATGTTTATAAAATGAGTTCTCCTGATTTAAGAGCCAGTGCTCCCAGGATTCTAGTATTAACAGAATACTTTAGTTAAGAAATGGTTATGTAAAAATAATTGAAGCAAAAGGAGAAAATTAAGGAAGATGTGCTGCGTTCCTAACTGCAGTAACCTTGTTTTATTTTGACATGACATTTCTTGGCCTCATCTTGGACCTCAACACCACCCCACACTTTCTCCTCCACACCCTTCACAAATGGAATTCAGAAAGGTAGAGCGGGCACTTTGGAATCCATCACTGAGAATGACTGGTCTTGGGCATATTTCGGCGCAATAACCGCGTTTTCGTCCCCACCTACATCCAGACCACTGCACTGCCAGCCTATGCCCTGCCTTTCCCCGGTGCTCCAGTCCAGAGGAAGGCAGGGCAACAGGCCTGTCCCTCGGCCAACAGCCTCTTTTTCCCGGAGACGGCCTGAGGGTTGCCCTGGCGTCCTCTGACCGCCCTCGGGTGGGACCGTTTCCAGACACCAAGCTGCTCGCTAACCCACTTATACCCCAAAACGAAGGGTCCTACGAAGCCAACCCCTCTTGAAACCGTTTCCTCTGGGCAGCAGGACAGAAACAGGTCCCCAGCAACCGGCCCTTCGTGGTATCCTTATGATCCCCCCCACCGCCGTCCTCCTGCGGACTAAACGCCGCAGCCCCCCTCAAATTGGGGATCTGAGCTGTCCCCAAAGAATTACACAGTGCGCCCCAAGAGCCCTGGGGCTAAAGTCCTCACTTCCTGAGAGAAGACCTCATCCCTCTCTCGCAGCACCCCAAAATTCAAAACCCGAAACCCCGAGCCTGCCAGGCCGCCCCGCCCCCGGTAGCAGCGCGGGATCCGCCCGCACCCGGGAGCATAGATCTGCCCCAGAGCTCCGTCCAGGGTGCGCGCAATTACGCAGTCCGGCACGGCGCGGGCCCCACGCCCCCAGGGATCGCCCGCGGGTGGCCGCTCCGGGCGACGGGACCCAGCCCTGCACCGGCTTCAGGCCGCCAGGGCCACCCGATCCGCGTTCCTTCCTGGCTGGGCGACAACGCACGCAGAGGCCCCTCGCCGCGCCTCCCGCCCAGGCCGCCCGCGGCCCGGCCCCTCACTCACCCAGAGCTCGGTGCCCCAGCTCATGTTGCAGGGACCGGGAAAGGGCCCCCGACCCCCTTCGCCGGCGATCGCTGAGCCCCTCCGGACACTGCGAATGCGGGAAGCCCGCCTCCTGCCGTTTCCTCTGGCCCGCGCCTCCTCTAGCCCTGCTCTACACCTCTCCGCGCGGAGCAAAATGGCCCGAGGAAGCAGCAGCAGCGACCGCCGCAGCGCGCCCGCCCGCACCGGAGCCGAGGGGCGGGGTGGGGCGGGACGAAAGGCGGGGCGGGGAGGGGCCGGACTGACAGCTCGAGCGGACCGTCCCGCCCCCAGACTCCCTTTGGCCCGGTTGCCGGGGGTCCGGAAGGACGCGAGGCCTTCGGGACCTCTCCGTGTCGTCGGTTTTCGGCAGCTAGTGCGCCCTACGCTCTCGGGACCCGCGCACACTGCTTGCAGACTGGCCCGTTCGCGATCTGCCCTCCACCCACTGCTCCGAGCACAGCTTTGCGTTTCAGAACTTTCGCCCAGCGGCCACCGGCGCCCACCTTAGAGGCTTCCAGAGCGGTTTCTCCCTCCATCCAGCCACCGTGGAGGCTAACGAGCCGGTCAGCGTGCTTGGGAGTGGGGCCTTGAACCGTGACGTTGAGGCAAATATAGAGACCGAGCAGATCCGGGAAACCAGGGAAGGATGAGCAGCCAAAGAATTATAATCTGTAGAACAAGCCCTTTCCTACTTGTTCAGCCAGGAATCTCAGTAACGAAATCCTCTTACCCCGCTGACGGACCGTAGAGTCTCTAGGGCCCACTGAGAACTTGGAGGGTTCAAATCCAGCCTCCAAGCTGGTGATCTTGGACGGATTTCCCCTCTAGTAGGAGAGCCCCAGCCACGAAAGGGAGGCAGTGTTTGCCAGTCGCCCGCGGCCTAGTGGTGTGAACCAAGGTGAACTGGCCAGGGGGTAGCTGGTGCAGAATTAGGACCATTAACTCTTTCAAAACTCCACAGAATGTCATTTCTCAGTAGCTGTGGGGAATCTGGGGTTTTCAACTATTTCCTCAGAATCCCTCAGACTGTCTCCACAACTTTTCTTTCTTTGAATGCTACTGCAGAGACCTTTTCTTCAGGGCCATGACCTCCAGAACAGGTCCCTCTTCTAAACGTTTCTCCGCTCCCTGCTCTCTTCAACCTGTTGGAAGATTGTCCTTGAAGGATGAATCTCAGCCCAGTGTGTGGACTGCAAGCCCACACTTGTAGTCTCAGCACTTTTGAGGCAGAGGCAGGAAGAGGCCAACCTGAGCCACGTAGTAAGTACCAAGCAGGCTGACCTGGACTTCAAAGTGAAACCTTGACAAAATACAGAAATAAATAAACAATAGACAGCTAGATAACAATAAGGGTGTGGTGGGAGGCATAGGCAGGTGGAGTTAAAGGTCTGGGTTACACAGTAAGTTCCAGGCCATAGTGAGACTCTGTTTAAAACAAAACAAAATAAAATCAAACACCAAATAATAATACTTTGTTTAAAAAGTAAAAGGAAGGAAAGAAAAAGGAAGGAGGGGTGGAGCTCAGAACATTGCCTCAAACCTCAAGACCTCCTACTTCCTTTGTGGGGTAGTTACATTGAAACCATCAAAACTGTTTGGGGCTCTTTTGTCAGTTACAAGCCCCTCCCCCATCCTTCGTGTCTTTAAATATTTTGTCCCCACATTTTCCAAGTCTGGGCTGGATATGTAAGGGTCAGGACGGCCAGCTAGGGTGAGTTAGAGGACTTCAAAATGTAAGCAATGTTAATTAACTAGGCCACAGGGTTGTTTTGTTGTGTTTCAGTTTTTAATGTGTACCGTACCACATTTGTGTCTGCTGCCCTTGGAGGCCAGAGAGGGTGCTAGATCCCCTGGAACTGAACTACAGATAGGTTGTGAGCCATCGTGTGGGTGCTGAGAATCAAGCCAGTGCTCTGAGCCACACTACGCCGTCTTCCCAGGCCCAGCACTGACACAGGTATTAGCTACTCAAAGTTGGAAATGGCCAGTTACTTAGCAAGACCCTGCTGCGTCATCATTATCGTCACCTGTGCCTCTGCTTGTTGGTTGTTTCCTTCTTAGTCCACAAAGTGATCTAATCTCAACTTCAGAAAACTAGAATGACCACTCGCAAAAAACAGTGTAGCCGGGGGTAGAACAACCTGTGCCCTACAGAGAAAGAAGCAGAAGAAGCAGAAGGAACTGTAGAAGAGAGAGATGCCTAAACTGTTAGGGAACCCTTGAAAGCCACAGGAGGTTCAGGAGCCAAGTTAACTGGGCCCACTTAGTGCCTCTCACTGGTTTTGTTTTGTTTAAGTCTGCAGGGTAACTGGAAAATGTTTACAGTCAAAAGCTTCAGAAAATGGAAGAGAAATGCGGTATTGACCTTTTAGCAGGGGTGTTCTCGCCCTATGCAAATGCTCACGCAGCTGCACACCTGCTCCAGCCTGACTCACAAAGCTGTGGTCTGTGCCTTCGAATGATCTGACGGCATGAAAGGGCTAACCTAAAGGGAGGCATCTGACGAACACAGCACAGACCCAGCCTGCATAAGCTCTTAGGCTGCTTGGTCTGCTGTTCTTTTTTTCTTTCTTTTTCTTTTCTTTTTAAAATATTTATTTATTTATTATGTATACAGCATTCCTTCCATGTATGTCTGCAGGCCAGAAGACCCCATTACAGATGGTTGTGAGCCACCATATGGTTGCTAGGGATTGAACTCAGGACCTTTGGAAGAACAGTCAGTGCTCTTAACCTCTTAACCTTTGAGCCATCTCTCCAGCCCTTTTTCTTTCTTTCTTTTTTTCTTTTTTCTTTTTTTTGAGACAGGGTTTCTCTGTAGATTTGGAACCTGTCCTGGAACTAGCTCTGTAGACAAGGCTGGCCTTGAACTCAGAAATCCACCTGTCTCTGCCTCCTGGCCTTGAACTCAGTAATCCACCTGTCTCTGCCTCCTGAGTGCTGGGATTTAAGGCACTTGCCACCCCTGTCCAGCGGTTTGCTTTCTTTATAAAATTTTTTATATTTCTATATGTACTTGGTATGTGTGTGGGGAGTACACATACAGCACACACATAGTGCCAGAGAACAACTTGTGGGAGTTGTTTTCTCCTTCACCATGCGGTTCCTAGGAACTGACTTTAGGTCATCAGTCTCGATAACAAGTGCCTTTACTGGCTGAGCCTTCTTCTGAGCCCTTATTTTGAGATAAGGTTTTATTCCATAGCCCAGGCTGGCCCACAACTTTGGTGGGTGGTCCTCTTGCTTCCGTAGGTACTTCTGAGTAGTCAGAGGCAAATCTATCAGGGATTTGGACAGTGCTCACCCTGCATGGAATTATAATGAACATCTCATTTGGGGTTTGTAGGTAGGTACCTGTTCAGTGGCAGATAGGGTTTTATAATTAATTGCTGAGGATCCCAGAGTTCAGTCCTTACTAGGCATGTGGCCTCTGGCAACCTACGCTGTCTGAGCTTCAGTTTCCTCATTTACAAAAAGGGGGCTTCACAGACTCCCAGGAGGCTGAAACGCTGGGCAAACACACACTTTACTGAGGTTCAGACATGCAGAGCTCAGGGCGGGCAGCTCAGAGCTTCCCTTCTTCAGACCTCAGTTTCCTCTCTTACAATGGAACCTCATGGCTTCTTCAATACTAAAAGAAAATATCTGCAAAGGGTTGAGCAAAGAGGGCACAAGTACAAGCCTCCTTTCCTTTTCCTGCGTGCCACAGCAAGGAAGCAATACCTTACAAACCGCTGCTAGAGCTAGACCCTTGGCTAGAACGGCAGGGCAAGATGACTGGTTGTCTCCCACTAGTTTCCTAATGACGCCCCCGTCAATGGTTTCTATCTGAGTGGAGCTTAAAATTTTCCATAGCTTTACTTACAATGGAGTTAAATCTTAATAAACTCCTTTTCTATTTTGTGCATCCCTGGCTGTCTCGGAGCTCACTCTGTAGACCAGGCTGGTCTTGAACTCACAGAGATCTGCCTGCCTCTGCCTCTTGAGTGCTGGGAGGGGTATGCCATCAAACCTGGTTTACTGTTTGTTTTGTTTTTGTTTTTTGTTTTTTTTTTTAAGACAGGGTCCCGCGTGTAGTCTAAGCAGACTTCAAACTCACTATGCAGCCAAGGCTGGCTTTGAAATGACCTGAATACAAAACAAAGCATTTAGTATTCCAGGAAACCCACAACTGTTGGTTGAGTCATGGTAAATTGAAAACTGGCTGTACATTCTTGGGACCCCAGAAGCAGCCAAGCGGAAAAACTAGGAACAGGATAAAAGCAGGAACTTTCTAGTGAGTGTAATCTTAAAACTGCAACTAGATTTTAATACCAACGACGGAGTTCTCTGAAGGACTGTAAAGACTGTATAAGCATGAAACATGGGCTGCTCAGAGCTGGGCAGATTATATACAGTGTCCCTAGGTTGAAAAATGATTCTCAAGTTCATTTCCATCGCACCTTCAGCCCACGAAAGGTGTGTTGGGGCCACTGGACTGATGTTTTCTCAGTTGCCAAAAAGGTGTTCTCAAAGTTTTCTTCTGTGTCTCAGGAGATGCTGAAATTCTCCACCACAATCTGGAAGACATGGCCAATGGATGTTGCCAAGTTCTGAGAAGCCTCTGGTTCCTTACGGTGTTAACTTTGGGGTCTGAAAGAACTCTTCTGAAAAGACAAACAGAACTGTTGGACAGCTCAGAAGGTAAACAAGCTGCCAAAAACCTGCCGACTTAAGTTCCATCCTGGTTACTCATGGTGGGAAGAGAAGACTTTTGAATATCATCCCCTGACCTCCACATATTCTCTATGGCATGTGCCCCTCCCCAATGCACACATAAATAAACGTAATAAAAACTTTGGTGAAAGCTACAGAGAAACCCTGTCTTGTCTTGAAAAAAAAAAAAACCTTTGGTGAAAAGAAAAACAAACAGCAGTTATGTCTTATTTTCTCCAACTGTCTGAGCCCAGGTACGTATTATCAATAGCACTGTATTCAAACTACAAGTTTGAATTCAAACACGAATTTCCTACCAGTGGCAACTTGGAATTGATCCAGCAGACTGCAAGGGCTCGTGATTAAAAGAGAGCCAGGCTCAAAGCCAGGGTGAAGGAGCTCTGCCCTTCTTGACCTCAGGCTTTTCCAGTGGGTGCCTTGGTTTAATGCCCCCTGGAAGGCACTGCCAGGGAGAAGCAGGCATAACTTGTTTTGTTACTCAACAAGATGTGCTGGTCACAGCATCCTGGTTACACAAATGACCTTTTCCGGAAAGTAGGAAGTCATGTGTTATACCTTTCTGGGACCCAGCATTGGAAGAACATTCCGCACCGACTGCTGGTAACAGGTTTTCTAAGACTTTGTAAGGGGTCTTCCATGCTCCTTCCTCTGGATTTCAAAATAACGATTGAGTTCACAGGGTTCCCAAACACACAAAGACAGACATTCCCACAAACCACTGAGCAGATTGGACTGGTGTGGCCTTGTGGAAGTTTTGTCATAATTTCCAGGCTCAAAAATGAAGAGATCCTAAAGACTTTAAAGTTTGGCAAAAGTGTCACCACCACGAGACAGAATTCTTCTTTGGAATAGATACTTTGCCACACGAAGAGGAACTGAAGGTACCTGGACATTCTGTTTTCAGGTTAGTCAAACTGAAAGACAGACCTTCTAAAAAGTGGTATTGAACTTTATTATTTATTGGTCTTTATTTTTACTTATGTGTGTACATGCGTATATGTGTGTGAGGTGCCATGGAGGCCAGAGGAAGAAATTGAATCCTCTGGAGCTGGACTGACAGGTGGTTGTGAGCTTCCTGATATGGGTGCTAGGAACTGAACTTGGGTCCTCTGGACAAAAGGTAAGTGCTCTTAACCACCAACTCCATCTTATTATTATTATTTCGAGACAGAGTCTCACGATGTAGTCCTGGAATTCTCTATATAGACCAGGCTGGCCTCGAACACACAGAGATCCACCTACCTTTGCCTCTGCCTCCCAAGTGCTATGATTAAATTGTGTGCCATCATGCATGGCTTTTATTGTTGTTATTATTATTATGATGGAGGAAGGTCATTGGCTAATAAAGGAACTGCCTTGGCCCATTTTATTGGTTAGAACATAGGTAGGTAGAGTAAACAGAACAGAATGCTGGGAGGAAGAGGAAGTGAGCTCAGTCTCCACAGCTCTCCTCTTGGGAGCAGACGCCTCAGAGAGACGCCATGCTCCCCGCTCCCGGGAAGATGCACGCGATGAAGCTCCGTCCCAGGATGGACGTAGGCTAGAATCTTCCCGGTAAGACCGGTGCTACACAGATGATAAGAAATGGGCTAGTCCAGGTGCGAGAGTTAGCCTAGAAGAGGCTAGATAAAAATGGGCCAAGCAGTGATTAAATGAATACAGTTTGTGTGTTGTTATTTCTGGGCATAAGCTAGCCGAGCAGGCGGCTGGGGTGCCGGGGAGGCAGCCCCGCCGCCACTCTTATTATTACATTATTATATTTATGTGCATGTTTGTATGTGTGCCAGGTGCCCACAGAGGCCAGAAGAGGGCACTGGATCCCCTGGAACTGGGATTATAGGTGGCTGTCAGTCACCATATTGGTGCTGGGAACAAACTCCAGTCCTCTATAAGATCAGTAAGTGCTTTTGGGGGGTGGGGTCTGTCTGTAGCTTTTGTGCCTGTCTTGGAACTAGTTCTTTTTTTTTTTTTTTTTTTTGGTTTTGTTTTTTGAGACAGGGTTTCTCTGTAGCTTTGGAGCCTGTCCTGGAACTAGCTCTTGTAGACCAGGCTGGCCTCGAACTCACAGAGATCCCCCGCCTCTGCCTCCTGAGTGCTGAGATTAAAGGCATACACCACACTGCTCTGCTGGAACTAGTTCTTATAAACCAGGCTTGTCTCGGACTCACAGAGATCCACCTGTCTCTGCCTCCTGAGTGATCCTCCCGAGTGCTGGGATTAAAGTCGTGTGCCACCACCTCCCGGCCAGTAAGTGCTCTTAAATGCTGAGTATCTCTCTAGTCCAGATTATTATTATCATCAATTAGGCACTGAACTTTAAAAAGTAAAAAATAGGATGGGACTATAGACCAGTGGACGAGGGCTTGTCTAGCATGTATGAAGTCTCAGTACTACAACATAAGAAAGGAAAATCTCTCTGAAAAATTCATCTGTTTAACATTTTTCTCAAGTAAAAATCACTTAAATAGGGGCAGGAGAAATGGCTCAATTAAGAGCACAGACTGCCCATCCATACGACCCAGTTTCAGTTCCCAGCAGCCACACAGTGGCCAACAACCATGTGTAACTCCAGCTGCAGAGGAGCTGATGCTCTGTTTTGGCCTCTGCAGGCTCCTGCATGCATATGGTGTGTATGCACATACACTCAGGTATACAAGTATACACATAAACATTTACATTTTCCCCCTTAACTGTCTTTAGCCTTTCTTCTTGCTCCCCAAAACAAAGTATCAGATTTCTCACACTTTTATTCTCTTTTTCAGGATTTTTTTAAGTGTCCTGGTGTGGAGAACTGAATCCCAGATCACAGTCATGCACATGCTGGGCTGCTAAGCTCCATCCCCAACAGGTGATTTTTATCTCAGACTTCCTGTCCTGAAGTCAAAGCTATGTTACCATGCCAGCTTGCTACCCTTTTTTAAAATACAAAACCACAAAAATCAGAAAGCTGAGGCTGGAGGGGCAGCTCAGCAGTAGGCATGCGCACTGCTCTTGTGGAGGATCTGAATTGGATTCCCAGCACCCACATCATATGGCTCACTTCCACCTTCCAGCTCCAGGGGTTCTGAAAACTCTTTTGGCCTCCAGGAAACCTGTGTTCACACATACTCCCCCACCCACACACACACACAAAGTAAGAATAGAATAATAACTTCTTTTTAAAAAAAAATTACAAAGCTGTTCATAATATCGGGCAAGAAGCCCAGATCCACTTCTGTTGCGATTGAAGTTTCAGTCCTGGTTTTATGGATGCCCTGCTAAAACTCCTCAAAAGGCTGTGTGACCTTTGGAAAGTCACATAGCGTTCGCTGGCACTGTTCATACCTGGGAAAGAAAACGGACAGACCTGGGTTCCCTACGGAGCCGTCCAGTCTAACCCAGCATGCAGTGGTCTTTCTCTACAGCAGGCAGGACAGAGGATTTGCTCTGGGCTTCATGAGTAGGGTGGGTATGAGTGTGCTGGCGGGTCATTTCTGCAGGCACAGACTGCCTCTGAGTTAGTTCACCCAACCAAACTTCATCTGAAAAAAGAACATATGCATCTTGGCAGACTTTCCTGATTTTAGACAACACAACATATGTATAGATCACATAAGTTCACTCAGAAAACCATTTCCCATCTCTCCGCAAAGAGCTGCAAAAGATTAATGCTAGAGTTTCCTGCTTCATTATCTGTAAAGAGGTGGGGAGTCAGATGAAAATCCTGCTCAAACAGGAAGATTGCATATTCAAAAGAGATGGCCCAACACCCAAGGGAAGAGAAGGACAGCCACCAACCAGTAGTTACTGCCTTTCCCTCCCTGAAACTTACAGGTATTTTAAGATAAACTACACCTCTGTGTCTCCACCTACCTGCTCTACTTTTGCCTTTGAAGAGGGTGTGACTGGGCTTGCACTGGTTTTTAGTCAAGAGAAGGATTAGATTTGTCAGTTCTGAAGATTCTGACACTGGGAACTGAGCCCCTTCTCACTTTAAATTCTGTACGTCTATATTGTCCCAAGTGATTTGTGTGTTTTTTTTTTAAATTTCTTCCTTCCTTTCTTTTCTTTCTTTCTCTTTCTCTCTTTCTTTCTCTTTGATACATGGTTTCCTGTGTATTTCTGGCTGGTCTTGAACTCAGTCAGAGATTCTCAAAGGTGTGAGTCAACACCACTAGCAACAAGTGATTTTTTTTCTTCTTCTTTCTTTCTTTCTTTTTTTTTTTTTATGAGACAGGGTTTCACCGTAGTTTTTAGAGCCTGTCCTGTAACTGTAACTAGCTCTTATAGACCAGGCTGGCCTCAAACTCACAGAGATCCGCCTGCCTCTGCCTCCCGAGTGCTGGGATTAAAGGCGTGCGCCACCACCGCCCGGCTCTTTCTTTCTCTTTGATACATGGTTTCCTGTGTATTTCTGGCTGGTCTTGAACTCAGTCAGAGATTCTCAAAGGTGTGAGTCAACACCACTAGCAACAAGTGATTTTTTTCTTCTTCTTTCTTTCTTTCTTTCTTTTTTTTTTTATGAGGCAGGGTTTCACCGTAGTTTTTAGAGCCTGTCCTGTAACTGTAACTAGCTCTTATAGACCAGGCTGGCCTCAAACTCACAGAGATCCCCCTGCCTCTGCCTCCCAAGTGCTGGGATTAAAGGCGTGCGCCACCACTGCCCAGCTTCCAAATGAATTTTTAAGTTGACTGTTTTGCATCACGTTGGGCTGAAGAGATGGCTCAGCAGGACCTGACATTATCTTCTGGTACCTTCTACCCTCAGGTACCTGAACATGGTACACATACATATATAAAGATGAACAAACAAAAATTCTATATTCCATTCCTATTTCCAGTTAGAAGTTTTGGGAATCTGATTCTGTCATAGGTGTCAACACACCTATACATTGGTGGCTGCCTGGTAGAGGGATTCCTAGTCATTTTTATTATAGCCTGTTTTGTTTAAATAATTAGCACACACAGACACACCACATGAAAATACATTACTTGTGTGTCCAGTTAAAAACAAGGACCTAAAGCCAGGCAGTGGTGGTACACGTCTTTAATCCCAGCACTCTGGAGGCAGAGGGAGGTGGGTCTCTGTGAGTTCGAGGACAGCCTGGTCTATAAAGCAAGTTCCAGGACAGCAAGAGAAACTGTTTTGAAAAGCTGGGGGGGGGGGTGTTTAAAAAGTAAACACACTTGACAATCAGCACTTTTAATATACTTGTTTCCTGTAACTCCTTGATAAACAATGCTATCAGGGACCTCCTACCAAGTCCTCAATGCCAAGGACCAGAAGCAAGGTTTCCACAGGGACGAAAATAGAAGACATTACAGCTCAGACTCTAGTGGTGGCATGAAATCCCATGAGCAAAATGATCATCAGTGAAAAATTTCCATGTGATCCCCGGCTCAGCCTGAACCAAATGACCATTCTCAGAGCTTACGTGTAGCAGGGGAGAAGTCTGACACCTACTTCTTATCTGATTAGATTGTCCCAAAGATTAAATACCATCAAAAAAAAAAAGCCTAGATGATTGCTTCATATATACTCAATAAATCCTGTTACTCCAACTATTTCGTCTGCGGTTTGTGGTAAAGGGCTTAGGATAATAATAAATCAAGCAGTCTAAGACAAGCCAGCAATTTCTAAGTTATTACCACCGACGACAGGCCAGTCCACAGCCAGGGAATGTGTGGCAGCCACTGCGGGTTCCAGCCTTTGGTCCAGGTCCCTCACTCCCCAAGCCCGGCGAGGCAGAAAGGAGGCCCGGGTTGGTCTTGCCCCGCCATGGTTGTCATAGCAAACGCTTCAGGGTCCTCAGAGGGGCTTCACAGGAAGTCCGCACTGAGAAGTCAACTGAAAAGTCCCGAGATGGCCCGCTGAAATCCCTGCGTGACCAAAGAGCTGTATTTTGAAGTAAAATGATCTTAAAGATCTCAGAAGTGGTGGCCGCACCCCCGTCCTGGAGCACTTCCGGGGCGTCGCACTTTGACCCGGAAGTGGGTGGGAGAGGAAGTAGTTGGTGATGCTGGAACAAACATGGCAGTCCCGGTGCCCGTCAGCTGCTCGGGCCCCTACTGTCTGCGACTGCTATCACTGCTGGCGTTCCTGGAGCTGCTGGTCGACCCCGGCTTGGGCCGCGTCCACCACCTGGCGCTCAAAGTAAGGGCTGGCGGACTGGGGACAGGGACAGGGGGTGGAGACCGGGGCGCGACAGCTGCTCCGGGATGAACCAACTTCAGCCCTGCGGGTTCTCTAAGTTTGGTTCCCAAGCTAGGGGTTTGCGCGGCCCTATCGCGACGGACTACTCAGTGCGGGTGCCTTGGGTAGTCTGGTCCCTGCAGCTTTGAGGTCTTGGGGAAGGGGCCTAGTGACTGTCTAAAGCCCCAAGGACCTGGGAGGCCGCTCCTGCGACCCCCGCTGCCTTCCCTGGAATTCACGCCGGTGGTAACCTCCTTTCCCTGCTTACCCTTGCACACAACTTTAATCCCAGTTTCTCTTGTCCGCGATCTCCGCCCTTCCGTGCGCCTGTACCTGGCTCTTTGAAGGTGTGCGGAATCTTTTTCCCTGCTTGCTTTAGGGTGCTCGATTCAAATCTCGCCGGAAATATATGCCTTGATTTCAAAAAGAAAGAAAGAAGAAAGGAAGGAAGGAAGGAGGAACAACCCTCAGGATCCAAACTCAGCATTTAAAGTGCTTCTAAGAGTGGGTCTTTTTCTTTCTGTCTCTATGGCCCTTGTCTAAGGGATAGACCTGGAATGCACACTAGGAACCGCTATGGTAACCCACAGTTTAAAGTTCTCTAAGGCTTACACAGGGTTGTCAGCAGGTTAGCATATCTGGGGAACAGAAGATGACATCATTATGACTCAAAGCCTTATACATTTTCCTAATAGTGTTCCAAGAAGTTTGTGGACCTGGACACAGCTGTCTTGTAAAACACCTTGCGTTAGTCGTGAAGCATCAGTCTTGTGAACGTAGAGTTTGAAGAACACAGACAGAGTCTGGAATTGAAACCTGGCCAGATCCATACAAGCGTACTTGCAATGCCGGCTTTTTTGTTTGTAGATACAAATGGTCTGGAGTAAGGTGACTCTTAACCACAGGTCAGTCTTGGCTCCTTTTGAAGATCCCAACTGAGAGCTGTAGCAGTTCTGCCCAGAGAAGTGCTTGTCCTTTCTTTCAGCCACACCACTTTCTTTGCCTTCCCGTGGCCTCGTGGTTCTGGTACATCTTATCAGTAGTTCCCAACCGGAGCGAAGAACTCCTAACTTCTAAGTTCTCCCATTTCGAAGTTTAGAGATTGTTTTTACTGCAAAATCAATGGAGCTGAGATCATAAAGCTTAGGAATTAGAAAACTTGCAACAGAACACACTAGGAGCATGTCTCCTGGTTCCCTGTCCAACATTTCTAGTATTAAAATGCCAGTTGCCTGATATCATCAGGTAAACACTGGCAGCATTTATATCGGCCAGCCTTAGTGGCCATCATATACCAACCTGATATCCCGCCTTGGTGGTAGAAGCAAACCTAGAGTAGTTCTGCAGTTGATTTCTCTCTTGTGCTAACTTAGTGTAGCGCTGTGATTGATTCTCTCCTGTGCCAAGTGACTTGATGGTTCTCTCTTGGAACATCTTCCCTAAACTTATTCCATAGTTGGTGCTAGAATCTTTTCTTAGTCTTAATTTATTGTCTAAGTAGATGGCATTTGCCCAGAGAAGGCCTATCTAAAAGGCTCAAGATGGTCTTGCTCTGCTTGAGGTTGGGAAGTATAGACTTGATCAGGTTAGAAACCCAGACTTGGAAGAACTTGATCACCAAATATCTGGAATATCAATTGATTCTTTAAAAGATTCGTTTTATTTTTCTTTTTGTGTGTCAGTGTGTGTGCGTGTACGAGCAGGAGTAATAGGCAGTTGTAAGCTGCTCCCTAGGAATCACACTCGGGTCCCCTGCAAGGGCCGTACATTCTCTTAACTGCTGAGCCATTTCTATGGCATTGGTGCTTATAAAACTTTTTAGCACCAACAATTTTGAATGCAGCAGAGTAGGTACAGTTGTATTATGAACTCCCATGTACCTGCCCACTTGTGCAGGTGTCACTTCTCTCTTCTCAACTGTTTATAGTTTCCTAAAGTAGAAAAGAATCTCTTCATTTTTAATTTGCTCTCGGTATTTTCCATCTCTCATTTGTTTTCTTGGTCTTCTCACAGCCCTTGTCTTTTGACCTTTCTGTATATTCCTTACTCTTCTTTTTTCTTGAGACAGGGTTTCTTTGCATAGCCCTGGCTGTCCTGGAATTTGCTCTGTAGACCAGGCTTGCCTTGACCCAACCTCCTGCCTCTGCACACCTTTAATCCCAGCACTCGGGAGGCAGAGGCAGGCGGATCTCTGTGAGTTCGAGACCAGCCTGGTCTACAGAGCTAGTTCCAGGACAGACTCCAAAGCCACAGAGGAATCCTGTCTCGAAAAACAAAACAAAACAAAACAAAAAACCCAGCTTTTAAAATAAACCAAAACCAAATAAAGTGATTGTCAGCTCCCCCTTCTCTCCTGAAAAAGTTATGTTCTAAAGAAAAAAAAATGTAGGGCTGGAGAGATGGCTCAGTGGTTAAGAGCATTGCCTGCTCTTCCAAAGGTCCTGAGTTCGATTCCCAGCAACCACATGGTGGCTCACAACCATCTGTAATGAGGTCTGGTGCCCTCTTCTGGCCTGCAGACATACACACAGACAGAATATTGTATACATAATAAATAAATAAATATAAAAAAATGTAGAAGAGACTTTAAAAGACTAAGATTTTTTGACCTAGGCAACTGGCTAGAGGGATGATTGATGCGGGGACAGTCCCTGTCCATGTGGAGGCTGCTCACCAGAGGGCAGGACCTGGCTCAACCCCCCTAGCTGACAGTTATAACTAACAGCCTGTGGTGATGGTGTACCTGGATACCATAGGGAGGCGGAAGGAGAGTGGAGCCTGTGGGTGTGGGAGAGGACTGTGGGAACCCACTTTGGGTTCCCAGGACTGTGGGTGTGCTGGAGTACTGGCCACAGAGGCCTCCAGGAGGCTCTCAGTCAGCCTGGCTGGCTTGGGATATGGGCTCGGAGAAGACACTGCTGGGTTGTGCCAAGGAGGGAACTTCCTAGCCTCTAGGACCAAGGCCAGACTCAATTGAGGTGTTGAAATCACTGCTCTCAGGCTGTCTGCTGACTTCCTTATCTGGGGTACTTCCCGATGCCTGTCGTCCTTCTGCCCCCTTGGGTGCCAGCTCGCCCATGTCTCCAGCTAGCTTCTGCACACTCCTGTTTTGAGTCACCCTGGATGTCAGGGACTGCATCCTGATGGCCTGTCGGTCACCCGAGATGAAGTCCGAGTAGGAGGACTCAACCTCCATCATGCCTGTCGTATCGATCCTCAGGCCTAGTTTAATTTCTTTTTTCTGCTTGCGTCTCTTCAGATTTTTCACTCTTGATTAATGAGTGTGGAAGTCTGCTGCCACATCTCTTTTGCTCCATGCCCAGTCAGCGACACTTCTACTTTGTGTTTGCATAGACTGTCCTTTGCCAGGTACTCCATGAGAAATGGAGTCACACAGCAGGGCTGCTTTTGTCCCTGGCTTCTTAGACTTTTTAGATTCATCCATGTTGTGCCATTTCTCAGTTTATCTTCTGTGTATTCATACTGTATGTGTATGTGTGCCCTGAGATGTTTGTGTAGAAGTCAGAGGGCAGACTTGGGTGTCCTTGCCTCCCATCTTGTATGAGGCAGGGATTTATTCACTATTGTATGTGTCAGCTTAGTTTGCAAGTTTCTCCGCCTCTCAGAGACCCAAGCATGAATGCTACCACACACCTGCCTTTAGGTGGGTCCATGGGATCTGGGTTAAGGTCCTTGTGCTTATATGGCAAGCATTTTTATCCACTGAGTCATCTCCCGAATCCAATCAGTAATTTGATGTTATTTATTATTACACCACTCCACTCTGGGCCTGTACAGCTGGCGTCTGTTTTCCTCCCTCCGTCTTCCCAGTGCTGGATTACAGGCGTGTGCCCGATGCCATCTCTGTACAAAGAACAATCCTGTCACCGTCATTCACATGCAAGTCTGTGACACTGCCTGTCCTTGTTTCTCTGGGTGACACCCAGGACTGGAGTGGAATTGCCAGGCTATCCTATAGGGTAGGGTTGGGTTTAATTTTTAAGAAAGTACTACACTACCTGTGTGTGGTGGCACACACCTCTAATCCCAGCACTCGGGAGGCAGAGGCAGGCAGATCTCTGTGAGTTCGAGGCCAGCCTGGTCTACAGAGTGGGTTCCCAGACAGCCAGGACTGTTATAGAGAAATTCTGTCTCGGAAAACAAAAAACAAAAAAGGAAGAAGAAGAAAATGAAGCACCACACTCAACTTTCCAAGGTAGCTAGCTTGTTTTACATCCTGCCAGCAACGAATAAGGGTTCCCCTTCCCCACAGTTGGCAGCATTTGTCATTGTCTTTCCTTATTTAGAGCAAATCAGAAGTATCCTGTTACCCATCTGTGAATACTCAGTGCGTCCCTGGAAAGTGTGAGGCGCCCTTAAAAAACCAACCCAGACACCATTAGAACAGAAATCCTTAAGAGCAAATCAAATCAGGTCCACATTTTCTCTGTTCTTAAGAAGCTTCAGACTTTGACTCCTTTCCACTGTGACTGTATACTCAGTGAACCGAGACTCTAATGTTAATCTTCTGGGGGCAGGGTCTCTGTTGCCGTAGACAGTGACCAGTGTGTAATGCACAGTATTGTTCTTTTCTAATGGTGCATAAGGGTGCTTTTGCTTAGGTTTTGATCAGAGGTGGCAGACTCAGCTGTTGTGAGAAGTCAGGTAGGTCCTGGTCGAGACCTGGCTGCTGGAGGGCCAGTGGAGTGTCCACTGAAGGATGCTTGCTCTTCCAGCTGTATTAATGTGTCCTGAGAGAGTCTAGGTCTCCCTT